GAAGCATCAGACTCTCTGTGTGGTGTTCTTCTGCAGTCTCTAGTGTGCCGTTGCGCTGGCTGAGTATCGCCTGTGGGTGTCATTGGGGCACAAGAAAGGGCGTGGCTCATGTCTTCACACAAGCTCTGAAAAAGCCCCGCCACTTCCAGAGCATTGTGCGAGCATCATGGGGCGATTGGTTTCTGGCCTTGGTCTTTGAGATTCTTTGCTGTTCTTTCCATGGAATGAAAGTACTTACATATCTGTGCATTCTTTAAAGAAACACAATAAATTTGTGGCGGTAACGAGTTGCAATTGTTGTGTCAAGGTTGCAGGTGGAGAGCCAGACTATTTGAAAAAGGCATAATATTTATGCTTGCTCTTTCTTTACTGTGGACTTTCCAAACTGTGGCCGTGTTGACTGCTGAGGGTTTGCTCTGCCGGATAGTTTCAGTAGCTGTGATATCTTGCTCTAGAGCCAACGGTTGGGAGTCGGATTCCCCACTGGGCCTCTGTGATGGGGACCAGATTCCATCGTCCATAAGGGTCCCTCCTAGCTCTGCAGTCTTAAGGTTATTATTTTTATTAAATTTATTACTTGAAAACACAGAAGCAATGTACAGCAATTCCTCTGGGGTAGTTCCCAAGAGTTGGTGCTGGTCATTTTGCAGTGGAATAAAACTATTACCGTAAGCAAGAGTGCAGACGTGTTTAAAAGATTTAAAAAAGGAGATTGGAACTTTAGACTGATGAGAAAGTCTCCTTGTGTTTGCAGATGGGGCTTTGATTCAATAGGTATTCCATCTGAAAGAAGGGAGGATACACCATTTCCATTGATTTTGCCCTGCAACCCCTCACATGCCTTGCCTCTTATTCTGGAGGGTCTGTGTGTGTGTTTGTGTGTGTGTGTCTTCTGGAGGGTCTGTGTGTATGTTTGTGAGAGAGAGAGGGAGGGAGAAGACTGCAGGAAGAAGGCAGATTGATCGCCATCACCTCCCTTCCACCAGCAGGATGATTCCACGTGTAGATTTCCATTTCCTGGACCATGAGTTCTAAGCCACTATAAATATGTTATGAGTTGTTTTCCCAGCCAATGGTGAGATATTCAGTTGCTGCGCTTGCTAAGAACAGTAAAATGGCAAGCCTTTATAAATGTAGGAAATGATAGTTTACATTACACTATTCATTCCTCTTTATAACTTTCTTTACCAATTTTCACTGAGGGATTATTTCTCTTTTTATATTACCATTAACTCTTGTTTTTGTGAACATGTTAGAATTGTTACTAGTAAAAAAGAAATGTGAAGGGGTCTAAGAGTAGAATATGACCAGCGATACAATTCCTATATATAATATAATATATATGGTAAAGAAAGTACTGTAATAAAGAGGAATGAATAGTGTAATGTAAAATATCATTTTCTACATTCATAAAGGAAAGTCCTATCACATGTGGCTACTACAGTAATATGTTTTTTGGATCTCTCTCTCCAAAAAACATTACTATAGCCACATGTGATAGGACTTTCCTCAAGTCTTATCATAATGTATTCATTCTGAATCCAGTTTGGACATACAGTAGGTTCCCCGTATCCTTTGGAAATGGTTCCAAACCCCACCTCCCCACCCCCGCTGGAATTTTAATAGCAAATGCCATACATAGCATGGTCCCTGGCTCCGTCTAGTAGCCAGTTCTGGTAATGACACCATGGATATCTATTTCTCTAGCACAGTGGTCAGGGAACAGGGGTAAATTACCCCAAATGGGGTAAAAATGAAAATCCTGGGGGTAATGAGGATGGTCACAACAGGCATTTTACCCCCAGGCATTTTAGTTCTGACAATGCTGTGTGTAGGCAGGCGTTCCGTCACGGGGAGAACGAGCCCTGGTGACGAACTGCACAGGGCACCCGTCTGCCCTCCTCGCTTCCAAAGTGGGGGAGAGGGTGGCGTACAAGGCCAGCTGGACTCTTCGCCTGGCGGAGCCCTGGCTGGGGCTCTCCTTCCTGCCCACGCCCACCTGCCCGGTGCTCTGGTGAGGAGGCCCCCTTCCCCCCCCGCCTCACCTGAGCTCATGCCCAGTGGACCTGCTTCAGAAAATTAAAGCAGGATAATAAATTGTTCACTTTTTTAGATGTAGGCCAAAATAAAACTATATACTTTATTTCACAGCAAGGGGAAAAAAGGAAAATAAGTTTTCCCAGAACAGTTCTATAAATTGAGGGAGACAATTTGGAGAATGGCATATGTATGGACACGAAAGCGGGCAGCTGGTATTCAAGGAATACCAAAGTGTTTAAAAGTGAAACAAGGGATTTTTCATTTACCCTGTTTCCCTAGTATGATTTTTCAGGATGCTTGTAATATAAGCCCTATCCCAAAAATAAGCCCTAGTTAAGTGAAATCTGGCCCTCCACCATGGTGCAGCAACCAGAAGAAGATGATGTCACTGAATTTGAATAAACGTAGATTGTACATAAAAAAATAAAGCAGCCCCTGAAAATAAGCCTGATGTGTTTTTGGAGCAAAAAAATTATAAGACCCTGTCTTATTTTCGGGGAAACAGGGTAATATTTTTAATGTTTTCAGACCATGGATGAGTGAATCAGTGGATACTGATCCTGAGGATAAGGGGATCCTAGTGTAGTGTGAAACCACAATTTAACATTGAGGGTGTGAGATGTGGCAAGGCTTCAGTGCCTCAGTTCTCATCCCCTCTCTCTTCTTCTCCCCATCTTCCCTGGTAGAGACTAAGGTTGCCAGGTCAGCAGCATCTCGTTCCCTGGAATTTAGAGCCAAAGTCTGAAAACAGAGGGTGGATCCTTGTAGAGTCATAGAAGTGAGTTAGGAAAGGTTCGAGGGGGATAGAACCGCTTCTGGGCTGAATGGCCGTGGAAATGGGCCTGAAGGGAATCCAGGTGAAACTCAGCAGACTAGATGATTGGGGGGGGGGTTCCTAGTTTTTGGCATTTTGCTAATACCCTTCTGGTGCATTGGCTTTTGCGGAGCACAATATGAATACAGGTCTCTTCGTGCAGATTTATTTATTTTATTTATTTATTCGCCTTTTACCCCTCCCATCGAGATTTTAAATGAATCTACTCTGGGCGGCTTACAGTCCGAGCAATATAAAGCCAAGAATTAAAACAGCCAATAGCAGAACAAAAGAGAGATGAGCAGAGTCCAAGATGGGATCCATTAAACCTTGGCACCAGGTGGGAATGGTTGGAGATGACGGTACCCAGGTTTGAAGTTTACCTCACAGGCGAGGATAACATTTTCTCATCTTTCAGTGTCACTCATCCCGAGGTTTCTCTCTTCCTGCAGAAGTACAGCAGTTCTCTGAAATGGCAACCTTTCTCCTTGCGTGTTGGGGGGGGGGGACAACACAAATTGATTTGAAACCAAAGAGAAGTGCCCTCTTCTTTACCAAATTAATTTGTGAAGAAATTTCTTCATGGTCTTATACAATCTCTTCATATGCAATTCCTATGCTTCAGGGTTGGGCAGCTTGCTCTTGCTAGTCAGTAAGTGTCAGCTTCTCGAAAAGGACCGTATGGTTGCTCCGTACATGAGCATCCAGCATGTTCTGGTTAGTGAAAGGCAAATTTAGTCCATACAGAGACCACCCCAAGTGTGACTAGAGCTCTGTTCCCTTGGCATGGCTACTTCCCGTAGCGGATTTGGGTATTAGTGGCCTTTTTACATCTTGAAGTAGGTCTGTATCACCAGTCTCTTAGGTAAGGGAGACCTGCAGCATTATATCCTATTGTGTCTTCTTCAATTAAAGCAACTATTCCTTGTGCAAATCACAAGCATTTCTGTGGAGGAGACTTCAGGTTTTACTTTCTCCTTTGTTTCCCACCATTTCACATTTTCAAACATTTCAGTAATTTCAGGGGGCAGAAATTGTCAAAATGACGCCAGTTTAAGGATTCTTAAGAATAGCTTTCAAGTGGCATATTAGTGGTCTTTTACAGGTTTATTCAGAAGCAGGTCCTAAATTTGGTTTCTGCTCACAGGCAGGGTGGATAAAAATTATTTAACTCAAAATGATTTAAATCATGATTTAAATAAGAACAATAGTTTTGATTGAAATTGTTAAAAAAATATTGATTCTTTAAATTTGAACTGTGATGTTCCTGTAAACCACTAGGAGGTGCTTTGCACTAGGTGGTATATCAATCAATCAATCAATCAATCAATCAATCAGTCAATCAATCAGTCAATCAATCAATCAATCAATCAATCAATCAATCAATCAGTGATTTAAATCAAATCCACCCTGCACAAGTAATGAGATTTATGTAAGTGTTGACTTAACCATGTAGCAGCTGAGTAAATGGATCTGTCCTAGATGAGACTAGCAATTATGTACTGAGGTCCTGTTGTTCATAAGATCATTCTGAATGAGGTGGATCCCCGTTTTGGTGGGCAGATGAGTGATTGCTGGTTGTTTTCAGCCACTAGATGGCGATGTCTTGCCAGCTGAACCAAAGACAAACCACATAGCTTTGCCTCTCATGCTTTTTCTAGGCAAAATAATGCCGTATCTCATCGCAACATGTTTTTTTTTGTAGCTAAAGATAAATTTTGGAGAAAATAAATAAATAATAAATAAAAAATGTTAGCAAGGAGTTAATTTGAAAAATAGACTGCTTGGTGAATCTGAGTGCAGTCCTATACGTGTCTACAGAAAAGCAAGTCCCAATGGATAAAATGGGTGGGGCTGGATCCCATATATGTGAACATAGAATTATAGCCTTCGATGCTTTATATGTATGTTAAAATTAATGGGACTGATAAAATCAACATTAACAGACATCATGTCAGTTCAGTGGTTCTACTCTAGCTGGGACTAACATTTCAATTTCATATTAGACGTTTAACAGTTGCCAGGTTATACTAGACAGCAAGCATTACAGTGTTTTTTGAAACAAGAATTTCTCCTTGTGACACAAAGCGGACTTTGAAGGCCAGAGAATATCACCCTAAAACTTTGCATAATCTTCTTGTGATAGGCTTCTGATTATTGGTGGCTGCGAAAGTGATGATGATGGAGCTGGAGTGTCTAAAGCGAGTAGCTGTGGTCTGACAGCATGGAGAGTGCTCTCAGGATCGCCGTATTACAAGCAAGTCACAAGTTATGAGGATGATGTTGGGACCGTAAGTAGCATTTAGATATTTGTGTGTTCCGTTTTTTTGTGTTTTTTTTTTTTGCATTTCTTTGTGCCTTTCTTCTGAGTTCAGGTTAGAACATTCTAGGTCTCGCCTTTGATTTCTGCCTTGTAGTCTTATTTACAAGGCCAGACCGAACGGTGTTTCCCCCCCCTCCCCGATTCAGCCCCAGCACATGGGTTATCCGCACCTCCTGCCTTGGCAAGGATCTTCACTTGGCAAGGATCTACTGCCTGTGTCACTCCCACATGTAGGCACAGGGCGGATCATTCAAGATACCATCTGTGCACCTTCTGTGGGCAATTTCTTGATTTAATTAAGTGAAAGACATGCAGTCTGTGCAGGTGATACCTGAACGGCTTCCTCTTTGCATGCAGAAGAAGGGAGAGTGGGTGAGGAGAAGGTGTTTCCTAGCCAGCAATCACAATCCCCAGTTAAATGATCTTAGGGCTGCATTCTGTCCTGTTTGCTTATGTAAGGCAGGAGGAAAAGGGTCGGCCTGTGTAAGAACTGTTCCAGCTACTGCACCATTCTGTGTTATACAAAGATGCCCTGCAGAACACTGGGGTCGTTTAGGAAGGAGGTGATGTCTTTCAGCATGGATGTTTTCAACAAAACAGCAACAAAAGAATGAACATAGAAAGAAGGACCAAATGGGAAGGTTTTCTTAGAAGAAGAGGAGCCAAGTGTTGTGGGACAGGACAATCTTCTTTGTGCCCTTGTATCTGGATTCCCCATTGGGTTAACATGTTTGGTAGGTGGCGGTCCATTGTGACCAGAAGAGGCAGACTAGAAGAGCTGGATCTCGTACACCAGAAGCACCTGGGATTTTGTGGGGGAACACACAGAGTTGGCCTCAAGTGGCTTCTTGCTCCATTTTGCCTGGAGCACTTACCCTCTTCCCTTAGTTCCAAGAAGTCCCAGTCACAGGGAACGCCAACCATATTCGGATTGAGTTGTTCACCAGGAGTTAGGAAAGCACTGAGAATTATGAGCTGCAACGATGTGTGCGCATGTGCGTCTGTGTCTGTGTCTCTCTCTCTGTGTGTACTGCAATGATGTGTGCGTGTGCGCATGTGCATCTGTGTCTGTGTCTCTCTGTGTGAGAGTGAGTGAGTGAGAGAGAGAGAGAGAGAGAGTTTTCCTTGTTCTAACTCCTTAATGAATGTTCTTCATTAAAGAAGAAGAGGTGAAAAGGTGGGAGGGCTGCAAAGAGAAGATGACATTGTAGGAGACTAAGGCAAGGTTTTGGAGAGATAAAAGACTCTTCAGGATGGAGACTAAGCAGTGAGACTCATGACACTGACTGTTCTTGCTCAGTGGTGGGGAAAATGAGAGTCACCGGCTGAATGTGGCCCTCAGGACCCCCCGTGCGGCCTCTAGACGCCAAGCACCCTCCAACATCTCCTTTAAACACACACGTGCGAAAGCACTCTCAGGCCATCTGGGTAGTGTACACACGTGTGTGAAAGCACTCTCAGGCCATCTGGGTAGTGTGTGTGTGTGTGGGGGGATAGTCCTGCTTCACCCCCCTTCTCATTCTGTTTAAGACCTTTGAGAAGAGCTTCCTTCAGATATTGGAATGAGTTCTTGCTGTGAATCCCGCAGGCCTAAAACAGACAGGGAGAGGGAACCCTAGCAGAATTGCTCCCTGCACGGTCCAGAATATGAGGGACCTTTTAAGAGCAAAGGTCTCCCCACACCCACCCTCCCAAGGATGGAGCAGTCCTTAGAGGTCCAAGAGGTCCATACGTGGCCGTCACGTGTCAGGAAGTTCCCCATCACGGTTCTAGCGGATCTTGTTTAGATGCATTTTTAAGTCTTCACATCTTTTAAACTGAAACGATACTGTCTTGTTTGCTTTTTCCATGGTTTGTTTTGGCTTTTGGTGGGGGAGGAAAAAAAAAAGAGAGAAATGAATTTGGTATGGTTTTATTTTCAACAGGGCACGAGAAGGTCCTTGTTCAAGATTATGAATCTCAAATTTTACAGGGGACAAGGAAGGGAACAGGTAAGGGAGAGTGTGTTCTTCAAATACTATTCACCTGTGTGCTGTGCAAATCATATGGAGGCAAAGGGACCATTGGTATTTCTCCTTGACGGACCCCAACTATAGTCATTTCCGCCTTGTCAGGATTCCTTTAAACCTCTTTGTGCAGCCTGTTTTCCAACCATGAGATACTGCTTCAGGGTTGACCCTGCCGCTCGGGGGTCTGATGAAAAACAGAAAGCAGTCAGGCATCATCAGCAGAAGGACACTTTGCCCCAAGGTTTTCAGAGACCCTTCCTGGCAGCTCTTTTATGGGTAGTGAGATGGACACCATAGTCCTGTGGTAGCGCACAGCTGAATTGGCTGCTCACCATTTTCTCTCAGGGGCCCAATGGGAAAAGGATAGCTGTGCCCCCCCCCCACGTCCACCCCAAGAAAGGCAAGAGGTTCGAGGCATGACTGTTTTGTTTTTGAAAATGAAAATTACACAAAGATAGTAGTTGCTTCCAGCTAAAATGATCCGAACGGTGGCTTAATAATAAAAATGAGCAAACTTCCTGACTTTGTAAACGTGCCTTTAGAGGATCAGGAAGGGGGGGGGAGGGCTTCGATAAGGGTGCATTAAGTGGTGCCTATCGGAGTGAGCTTTGCCCATCCTAAGAAAGGATGATAATCGCTGGAACAGGTCCCGGCTATGTGGTGGCTGGCCTGCTTGGGCAAGGCTGGCCATGGGGGGGCAGGTGGTGGGGGCAGCAGGGACAAGGCTGTCTTCTCTCCCTGGCCCAGCAGGGAAGACTATAAAGCACTGAGACCGTCTGTGAAGCATCGCTCACTCTGGGAATTGTGTCTGTTTGCCTCCAGTTGTGCCACAGTGTCACACCGGATTAGTATTAAGTCTTGTGATATTGCTGCACAAAACATCATGTGTGTGTGTGTGTGCGTGTGTGTGCATGCCTTGTGATATTGCTGCACAAAACATCGTGTGTGTGTGTGCATGTGTGTGCGCGCGCACTGACACACACACATCCGATTTTTCCTGTACTTGAATCAAACTGGTAGTCCAGAAGTGCTTGCAGAAGTCCATCTCACACACACACATCCGATTTTTCCTGTCCTTGAATCAAACTAGTAGTCCAGAAGTGCTTGCAGAAGTCCATCTCTCCCTGAAGTTAGGCAGTCCTTACTTTTTTATTGTGTGCCTTGCTCATGAAAGCAAAATGTGCTGCTTATATACCTTCCCATAGTGCTTAAAGAACTCTCAGGACGATTTACAATTTAATGATGCAGGCTACACATTACACCCCTCTCCCCCAGTAAGCTGTGTACAAATTTTACTGACCTCAGGAGGATAGAAGGATGAGTCAACCTCAAGCTGGCTAGCTGAGCCCAGGATCCGACTCAGGTCATGAGCAGAGTCTTCACTGCAGTACTGCGGTAGACCCCCATGAATCAATGGAACTTACATAAATGTTGACTTACGAGATTCCCAGAGATTCAATGGGTCTACTATAGTTGGGATTAATAATTAGATTTAGCCCATGAACTATAGCAGCCAGCAAAGTCTGTATATACCGGGCTCCTTCTAGTGCACTGATTTAGTATTTTCATGTTCTGATTATTCCCTACCTAGAGAGGGATGGGACCACAACGTGGATGTTGAAAGCAGTCATGGCGGCTCTCCTGGTTTGCACTGATTTTGGTCTTCATTGGAGATGTTTGACTAGCACTTTAGTTTGTGAAGATGATTGGGACGGAGAGAGTTGGGAGAGCGTACAATAAGGATGACAATCTTCTGCAGAAAGAGGAGATAAATTTAGAATGATAGTAGAGAGATTGCTGACATTTAGAAAGGTTGCCAGCACCAGTTAATGGCCGCCTCCTCAACACCATTCATTTTTTTTATGATGCGAGCTTTATAAGTTTGCTTAGTAAATTGGACCTCTTTCTCCCACTCATCCTCCACAGGAGAGAGGGACAAGAAAGGTAGGTGGAAAGATAAAGAACAACTGCAGAGGATTAAAGGAATGATAGAGGTAGCAACATTGACTGCATTGCTTAAGAATTTCTGGAGATGCAGAGATTATAGTCTACATCTCTTAACTTTGTAATTCTGGGTGTATTTACATGGAAGTGAGGGCCACTGCACTCAATGGGTTTTATTTATGAATAGAGTTTCATGGTTCATCCAACAGACAATAACATGACCAAAGATCTGTAAGGGCAAACTATGCAGTGGAGATATGTGTCAACAGTGGGAGGAAAGGTGGCTTATGACTTGTGAGAGTTTAACAGGGCTTCTAAACTTATTTTCTTTCCCTTTTGCCATGAATTGAACTATTGGTAGGATGGCATTTTCAAGATGAGCCTTTCTCCAGATGGCAGCCGCCTGGCGGCCATTCACTTTTCAGGAAAACTGACCATTTGGGGAGTTCCTTCGCTCAGACAGCAAGGCGAATGGGAACAAAGTGATCAGGTATGTGACTGTTAGCAGGTTGTACATACTTTGGGTTGACCTGGTACGTTAGGATGACTTCTCTTCTTAAAAAAAAAAATTGGGAGGGAAAGGTAGAATAAAAGCCAGTGAGTCCAAACAACTAGTTCCATTTGCAAATTTATTCTGTTAGTTGACAGAGAAATGACATGCATGTCTGCAGCGCTCAATGGGACAGGTATCTGAAATACTCATCTGATTGATGCATTGCCTTTTCCACACATGGGCAACAGTTCTGCTGTTGTTTGCCATGTACTGTTGCCTGTGTGAAGTACTGTATTTTTCCGTTTATAAGATACCCCCCCCCTTTTCTAACCCCCAAATTAAGAAAACATAGCTTTGAGAATTCAGCCCTTGGGCTCAGAACACGTGGACATTAGGAGTCCCTGTTGAATCTGAGCACTTCCTACAGGCTCCACCTCCAACCAGGTGTGTTCCAATTGGTTGACGTCAGTGCCATAAGGCTCCTGATTGGAGGAGACTAAGTCTCCTGACTGAAGGAAGCCTGTTTGCAGAGGCAAGGTACGGGCCGTTTTGTTCTCAGCTTAGTTCCGTGTATAAGATGCCCCTCAATTTTTAGTGTAATGATTTTAGGAAAAATTAGCATCTTATACATGGAAAACTATGGTAGTTACGGGTTTTTTTAAAAAAAGATATTTGTGATTGTTTACAGGTGGGTTGAGAAATCTGAGGCCTCCAAGATGTGGTTTGACTGCTGTTCTTGTCACCTTATCTCTGGCTAGGGCAAGGGCAAGCTGCAGTCCGACCAACCTCTGGTGGTCCTCAAAGGTTTCTTCAGGCCCTCATCCGGACCCTGGAGTACCTTCTCTACAAAGATTTGTGGTAGTAAAAAAACTCACACCAAGCTCATCTCACACCTATTCACACTCAAGTATGTCTTTTGACATATGAATTATATTAATTTTTTCGTGATTGTCTTCAAACATTGGTGTGTTTCCCCATTTCTTGCTGTGAAAGAAAAAGGAATGCTTATCATTTGACACATTAAAAAAGTTCGAGGAAGGCGTCATTTTGGTTTCATTTTTGGTCAACTTTACTATTGCATTCAACGGTGAGAAAGTGAAGTTATGAGAGACGCTACCTCTATCAGGTTTTAGTTCTCCCCGTCTTGTTGACAACCTTACTGTTCATCCATATTGAGTTTGTTGCTGGAATTTGCAGCATTTTAGCAGAGTTTTAAGTCAGTCCAGGCAGTCCAGCAAAATAACACATACACAGGCAGCTTCTTCCCCCCAGGCAGTCCAGTAAAATAACACATACACAGGCTGCTTCTTCCCAACACCACATACATTTACAAGTATATACAGAAGTTCTCATAGTCCAATCCAGCAGCATAACAGCATAGCACTCATCAGGAAGAGATCCACATCTTCTCCACATGTCCCACACATTTATGTCCATGTACATTTACAGATGGCCAATCAGTAAGTACATTACATCACTCAGACATTACTTCATCTCCTAATACGTACACATCTTGTATGAATCGGCACTTTGCCCACCTTTTCAGCGTGGCTGCTGATTACTCTTCTGACTGTGCATTAATGGTCTCCTGGAAGTGCTACCTTTAACACCCCTGCACAGGTCTTGCAAACTAAACACTACAGCTTCCTTTATTGCATCCTTTCACCTTATTTTGGGTCTTTCCCTTTTCGTACTCTCGTTCATTTTTCCTACCATGATTGTCTTTTCCAGTGAGTATTGTCACGATTTGTCCAAAGTACAATAGTCAAAGTACGATGCTCTTATTATATCCATAGTATTATAGCTTTATTTTGGTCATTTTAGAATTTAGTGGCAGTCTAGGCTTGCTTTGATCTGATAAAACCATTTACAGTATTTATCTTGGTTGCTATGGTCCATAGCACTTGCAAAGCTCTCCTCCTTTCTGATGAGTTGACTTTTCCCCCTGTCAGCTTTCTTAATCACCCAGCTTTTACATTTGTATGTAGTAAATTTGAATTCTGTACTATAATATGGATCATCTTGGCCTTAATGCCTAGTAAAACATCTGTGGACTTAAGGATTTTCTCTAGTTCCTTAGTCTTCTCCTCACTTCTTAGCTACAGTTTCCATTTTGATTGATGTTGGAATGAAGGTACAGAAACTCCTCAACAATTTCCTTTCTTCATTGTCAACAACAAAGTTGCATCATTTTCTGTAGTTATAATTTTTGTTTTCTTAACATTCTGCTGTGATCTTGCTTTTGTGGTTTATTCTTTAACCTCTAATCTGATACTTATTTTTAATATTCATTAAGATACCCTCTGCCTCACACACACTGGTGAAGAAAACATTTTCAGGCGTCCTTTGCTCTAAGCAAAAATTCCCTCTCTCTCTTTTTTTTAGGTGTAGGTGGATGTGTCTCTGACGTCTGTCATGTCAGGCTGCTTTTACGTTCTTTAGTTTTTGCAGTCGGAACGTTAGGAATGAGTTTATTATAATGCAAAAGTACAATGCCATTTGAACACTTTTGGAACTAAAACCAAACAGGGTAGCATCATTCTTGTGCAATGACAGAAGAAAGGGGTAAACCCAGCTGAACAAAAGAAGAGTGTTACTTAATGTCTCGAGTTGGCAATAATCGTAGATTCAAATTACAATAGAAATCCAGGAGTTATGTCAGCCTCATCCTTTTTAATGTGTTTCTTACACTGGAGCAAGTCTTTTGTTTTGCCTGAAAAGGGAGTTTTAGGAGCAAACAGTTTAAGCAATCTAGAGCTGACTGTTTGAAGTTAATTTTCCTAAATGTGCAGCCAGTACGTATGGTGTACTTGGATCATCTTTTTGACAACATGAAGTGCTTGAGACTGTGTGAATTCTATTATTGCACCTACAGATGGTCATGTGTGCTGAATGAAAATATGGACATCGCAAAAGTAGCTTTCCCTTATGGCAGGTCTGGTGTCCGTGACATTTTGTTCCATGCTACTCAGCCATCACTCCCCACACCTTCAGAAACCTTCAGAAGTGTAAATATGGTGTTATATGGCGTAGGCAAACTTTGGCCCTTCAGCTTTTGAGGCATCATCATGAGCAAGGGTGGCAAGGGCTGGTCTACAGCAAACAGTTTCTACAAAGTATGTCTGGATGCAACAGTTTTAGAGGCCGTTTCTAGCTTGTTCTAGCACAGTTTGCTTCTCCTGTTCTTCCCCCGTTTAGCACCATAACACCATGCTGAAGCTTTAGAAAGCCTTCATTTGCTGGAAGAAATAAACAGCTATAAGAAGGAGACTTTTATATTATGCATATATTACATATTGGCCGAATTCCTGTTCATGTAAGATGCCATCAGCCATGGCAATCTTTTGAAAATTAAACATTTCCCCCTCCTGTTCTAAGGGCGCTACAGCCCCGAGCAACCCCTTTCATTGTCAGGAACTCATGGAGCTGAGGGGTGGGTGGGGGAACTTCCTTAATTTAAAAAATTGCAACTGCTGGGATAACTTTGTTGTTAGTCTTCTTCCCATCCCTTGGTCCCCCACAGATTCCTAGCAATGAAAGGGGTTACTCAGGATGCATAGATTTGTGACAGGAAGGAGAATAATTCCCCCAAAATTGCATTGACTGATGACATCATCATCTTTGCACTGTGGTATCTACTTAAACAAGATTTCAGCCATTGTGAAATAATGAAGAGATATACCTGAGTTCTTGATTTAAAAATTTGTAATTTTTTTGGTCATAGCCAGGTTATGATGAAATCAAGCCAGAATGGAGACTTTCTCTTGAAAAGCGAAAGAAAATTAAAGGTTTGTATCATGGATTAATTACATTCTCTCTCTCTCTCTCTCTCTGAGAAAGGAGTGGGAGTTTCTTAGGAAGAAACACATGCATTTTATTTTAGACTATTGGCTTATCGGATGAGGGACGTGGTGGCGCTGCGAGCTAAACCGCAGAAGCCTCTGTGCTACAGGGTCAGAAGACCAGCAGTCGTAAGATCGAATCCACGTGACGGAGTGAGCGCCCGTTGCTTGTCCCAGCTCCCGCCAACCTAGCGGTTCGAAAGCATGCAAATGCGAGTAGATAAATAGAGACCACCTCGGTGGGAAGGTAGCAGCGTTCCGTGTCTAAGTCACACTGGCCATGTGACCACGGAAGATTGTCTTCGGACAAACGCTGGCTCTATGGCTTGGAAACGGGGATGAGCACTGCCCCCTAGAGTCGAACACGACTGGACAAAAAATTGTCAAAGGGAACCTTTACCTTTTTACTTATTGGCTTATCAACATATTTGCAGAAACCGTTAAACAAATGACAGTGAAATCTACTCTGCTTGGAATCTATACTAGATTTCTGTGTGGATATAATGTGAACAGAACTCTAGTAATACATTCTACTTGAACAACAGAAAAAAAATAAACAGCACTCCTGGGCCTACTGTTTTTTATGAGAACAGTTCCTTCATCTTTTTCTCCTTTGTTATCACAATTGTGATTCTGTTACTACGGATTATGAGATACGGTTACTTGTCCAAGACTGAACAGAGAGTCCATAGGAAAGGTGGACCTGAGAAGATGTCTAGGATCCATGGGCAGTTTTGGGCCATAGTTGCTCCTGACAGGTGTTTCTCAATAAAAATATGCCTTCATTCCCACGAGTCATGCTAATGTATCGTAAATGTTATAACTGAGTTCTTAGGACAGAAACATAGACAGTGTTTCACAAAATGTGTTCTGAAGAACATCATTCTATAAATCCCCATTACAAAAAAGAGCAAAGCAGCAGCAAGAAATGGAGTGAGAAATGCCTGATGTTCAGGTTGGATTCCGAAAAGGAAGAAGTACTTGAGATCATATTGCAAGTATCCAGAGGAGCACCCCAAAGAATTTCAGAAGATCAGTCTATGCTTTATAGACCGAGCCTAGGGTGACCCAAATGTTCTTGGACTCCAGCTCCCCGAAACTCCGGCCAGCACAGATGATGGTAAAGGTTTCTGGGAACTGGCATCCAGGAACACTTGGGTTACCCAAGGTTGGGAATCACTGGACTCTTTAGCAAAGCCCTTGACTGTGTAGATCATGAGAAACTATGGGTTATTCTGAAAGAAAAGGGCATGCCTCAGCACTTCATTGTCCTGATGTGTAACCTGTATTGAGGACGAGAAGCTACTGTTAGGATAGAAAATGGTTAAGATAGACAGAATGGTTTCCTATGAGTACATATCATATGGAAAGCTAGACTAAATTCAGAGGGAGAAGGAAAAGTTGGTGGATGAAATGTATGTATGCATGTATGTATGTATGTCTGCCTGCATTTATTTATTTATTTATTTGTTTGGTTGGTTGGTTGGTTGGTTGGTTGGTTGGTTGGTTGGTTGGTTGGTTGGTTGGTTGGTTACATAATTGAAGTTCTCTAGTTCTAATGCTTGAAATTGCCCTTTCCTCCAGACAAGGAATCTTTCTACCCACTAATAGATGTAAACTGGTGGGCAAAGAATGCTGTTATCTTGGGCCGTTGTTCTGGAGCCTTGACAGTGTCATCAGTGAAGACCTTGAAAAATCTCTTAGGCAAATCCTGTGAATGGTTTGAAAGTTCTCCTCAGGTCACTTCTGCTCACGACGGAGGATTTCTGAGTTTGGAGGTAGGAAGCACTTGATGCCTTGATGGTATGTTTGAAATGCCACTTCTGTTCTGTCATGTGTAAGTGCCATCGCTTTTAACACTCCCGTGATGGTAAACAAGCATTCCAAGAATGAGTGAAATGATGGGTTGCATTTAATAATTTTTTTTAAAGGAGCAAAAGCTTCCAGTGTTTGTTCTATGCCTTGCTGTAGTGCTGTGTGTTCATTGATATTCTGCAAACCTGGTGAATGACTCCAATTTGATGAAATAATTAAATTAAGGCTCATTTTCCACAAGAAGGCACAACTATTTTGGACTGTGTTTGGGTTCCATGAGGCTACTTTGACAATATTCTAATGGTGCTTCATGGATTCTTGATAGCTAATTTAGATACTTTTGCCTTCAACGCAAAGTGTCTGACAGTATGAATAACAAACATGGAACGGTTCATGGTTTTCGCAATTGTTGCATCAACAAATAATAGCTGTTGTATTTTTAAATGAGAGTTTTCTGTACACTGGGTTAGTTTAGACCCCCACCCCTCCGATGCTTTGGAGGTGCAATAGCAGCCTTTTTAATACACAGAATGTCAAGTTCAGCTGCTCATAATAAGGGGGTGAAACAGCAGAGACAATTGCCATCCTACAGAGTACTTGGAATATAAAATGCAGCTCTTGGAGGAAGCCTAACTTTTTAAAGAGTCTATCTCTGATTAGTTCCCCATAGGAGGGCGAAATCCACAGGCAATCCCATTCGCCTTGGTCACTTGGTTCTATAATAGTAAATATTCTGAAGGAGGTTTTTAATAAGCACTGACATCTTCCTGTGAAAGGCCGCTGTGAGTGAATTTTTAAAGAAGGTTTGCTTACATACAAATGTTCTCCACTTTTCCTCTATCCATGTTTCCTCTATATAGTCCCAAGGTATAAGGTAGCTGTACTTAAGCAAAAACCCAGTAGCTGCATCTTTGCACTTATTTGAGGAAGAGCTAAACTATTGATGAACTATACTCTGTTACTCTCAGTTCTCCAGCCTTCAGGATTTTCTGTCTTTTTAGAATCTCTTTTGTATTAATCCTAAACCCCCCCCCCAAGAAAACCCATGAAGCAAATTCTAATCCTTAACGAATATGCTGAGTACTCTTGCATGGCCAAGGGCCCGTCCTGTGTAACAACTGGGCTGCTTGAGAGAAAATTTATTTTCAGTGCTCCGTTTTCACTCTCAGCAGCTTTGAGAATAGTCGTCGCTTATTGTCTCTTTGCGTCCAGAAGCCTGACAGACTTAAGTGTGATACATTATGCTGTTTAGTAAGAATCGCTTTTCTCGTAGTGCGAGGTGAAGTTGGCGCCAAAGAGATTGCGCTTGGATAGCAGGCCTGGGGATGAAGATGAAGGAGAAGACGACTCGGATTCCGATGACGAAACGTCTGCCAAAGCCCGGTATTTTGGCTACTTGAAGCAAGGCCTATATTTTGTGACTGAAATGGAGAGATTCGCTCCGCCAAGGAAACGGCCACGCACCATTATAAAGAACTATCGGCTTGTGAACCTGAGGTCCACAACCCCTGAGGAGTTGTATCAAAGAAAGGTGTGTGTGTGTTTGAAGCGAAGCAAAGCATATTTTCCTCCCTCTCTTTGTTAACATTAATTGAAAGGTCCTACTCTTAGTCAGGTTCATTTTGCTGAGTCCTTTCTTTGAATATGAACTTACTGCCATGCTTTAATTTGTTGGATTTTGGCTGCTTTGATTTAAAGCCAGTGACTTCTTAAGCAAATGTTTTCGGGATATGATGGGTAGAAATAGATCCGTGTTAATCAGCTTGCCCTCATACCTGTTAATAAACCCATTTTCCCAAATGAAATGAGAATAATAGCAGTAGGATAGTTGTAATTGGTGCCAGAACACCAAAGGTTCTTTTTGCTCTAGAAAAAGCGCAATATGGGGAGGTCTTTTATTGTGACCATTTATTGTTTGTTGAAAATTCCTTTTCTCAGAATGAATGTTCTGCAGATGAGTTATTTCAATTTCCCCCCCATCTAAGTATTCAGCGTACATTATTTCACACCTTGGGGGAAAATTTTCCCTTGGATTAGAGTACTTATTGCCACATGACGGCTGTGTAAAAATTAGCATTAGAAGTCAGAATTCTGTTGACTATCCATAGAGGATAACTCTCTCTGTTGGTGGCAGGCTCATCCACTTGCCACCAAACCTCTACACAGGAGGAGACCACAGAGCACCCATGTGAATTGGAATGGGCTTCTGCTTCCTTGGAACACTTAGAGTTCTGCTCATGGACACTTAATTTTATACATTGCTTGAAATGTATCCTGTTGCTCATTATGTATGGACCAGGCAGGAGCCTCATGGCACCATGGTTACATTGCTGTACTGCAAGCAAAACTCTGCTCACGACCTGGGGGTTCAATCCCAGGTAGCCGGCTCAAGGTTCACTCAGCTTTCCGTCATTCCAAGATGGTAAAATGAGTTCCCAGCTCACTGGGGGGGGGGGGGGAGAGCGCAGTGTGTAGCCTCTTTAATTAAATTGTAAACCACCCAGAGAGTGCTTTAAGTGCCGTGGGGTGGTATATAAGCGATACGCTTTGCTCAGTTTTTTAATTGAAGCACCAGAATAACAGAAAGGGAGGGTGCTCAGTAACTGAACTAAAAAGAGAGAAGGGGGTCTCAAAGAAGGGCTATGGTATCCGTGAGGGTCAATTCCAAACCCGCCCCTGCAGATGTGGAAAAATGCAGAAGTATCTACAGTAATGTGGTACATGGCATCATCTCTAGCCTCATATAGTGGCCAGTTCTGGTAACCACACCCTGGAAATAGATATGAATGGGTACAGTATTTCAGTTTAAAAAAAAAAATAGTATTTTCAGCCAGTGGATAAGTGAATCAGCAGGCACTCATCCTGCCGATAGAAGGGTGCTATTGTGTGCTATTTTGTAACACATTTTGAAATTTTAAAATTCCTTGGGGACATTTGAAATACCGTACCCCAGCCAGCCCTTCAGATTTTTCCAGTGTTTGTTTGCTTTTGTAAATGATAACTTTTACCAAATGCCACCATTTTACAAATGTTGTTTTGCAGTCTTAAGAGCAAATTTAGGGCTGCAGGATAGTTTGCAGTGTAGGTATTATCCCGGGAGTTTTTATCTAGGAAATAATCTTACAGAGAATCGAATAGGATTGTAGCGTGCATATTCTGGTTCTCCGAATAAGTAATCCTGTGGTGTCAAATGGAAAAACGATAGAAACTGTTTTTCTCTTAATTTATTGACTCTTGCTTGAAATGGATGTACAGAGTCTAGTATCTACATGTTTTGTTTTCAGATTGATAATGAAGAATACGGAGAAGCCTTGTCACTTGCCCAGACGTACGACCTTGATTCCGACCTTGTTTATCAGAGGCAGTGGAGGAAATCTGCAGTTAGCATTGCTTCTATCCAGGATTACCTGGTATGTTTTCTTAGGAATTGGAATCCATGGGTAGACCAAGTGGATGTCTGTCTTGGAAGATGGGGATGTCTTGACTCTTGCTCTGTTACAGTTCCACTCATTCTCCCCCAGAAGACATTCCTGAATTAACCCTTGTGAGTGTCATGTGATGGTTCACAAGAAGGGGCGTGGAAGAATTCAGTAGGGTTGTTTCTGCAAGAAATCTTTGTATGTTTATGAAACTAATGTGAAACCGGTGTTCTTCAGTTAGCATCTGAAACTGGCAATGAAAAATGGCCCGTTGTCACTACATTTGAGACGGAATGATGCTCAGTTTTTCCCATGTTCCTCCTGATCTACAAGTCTTTAGTTGGGCAGGGAGGGCAACCATAGGTGAAACATCGATGGAAGCATATGCAGCTCAACAGGAGAACACAAACTTTGCATGCAGAAGGTCTGTGTTGTACCTTGGTCAAGATAGACGTCATGTGAAATCCTGGAGAGCCTCTGCCGGTCAATGTAGATGATACCAAGCTAGACAGATAGATAGTAGAACTCGGTACCAGGCATTTTCTTGTATGTAAATATATCGGCATTTCCCTGCTTTAGGTTGAACGGTTCTAATGATTTCCATGTGTTGTCTTTTTACTGTTGTTTGTGGGGGCAGAGCAAAATTAATAAGCGTTCCTGGGTTCTTCACGAGTGCCTGGAGAGAGTCCCCGAAAATGTAGATGCTGCAAAAGAACTGCTGCAGTATGGCTTGAAAGGAACGGATCTGGAAGCTCTTGTGGCCATTGGGAAAGGAGAAGATGGCGGCAGGTCTGTGGGAATTGGTTCTCAATTGCACTTGCATCTGCTGCTAATAACATCAGCTAAATATTGTAACAGTGCCAGAATAAACAAAATGGGGATGGACAAGCAGATACATGAACAGGCTTCTCATTTTGCTTTATCATGCTCCGGTTTGTTGAAAAGACAAAGTTGACACGGTTTTAGTTTTTAGTTTTTTTTTCCAGAAAGCTTGTAACTTTTCAGATCAGTGGCGATAAAGCAAAAAGCAAAGCATGCTGCTTATATACCACCCTATGGTGCTTAAAGCACTCTCTGGGTGGTTTACACTTTAATTCTGCAGGCTACGCATTGCGCCCCCTCCTCCAGTGCGCTGGATACTCAGTTCACTGACCTTAGAAGGATGGAAGGCTGAGTCAACCTTGACCTGGCTACCTGCGCCTGTCAGGATTGCTCTCAGGTCATGAGCACTTTGCACTACTGCAGATTAAGCACTGTGCCACAAGATTCCTTGGTGGAAGAGTTGGACACATACAACATGGAACGTCCATTCCAAGTATAAATAATATAGCAGAGGCATTGCCCTTGGAACACAAAACCGTGTTGCAAGAGTTAATGGAACTTTAAAACAAGCGGTGGCTACTGGCCCTGATTGGCTTGGTGTCTCTGGGAGCTGTCGTCCCCAAAGTAACTTTCCATGCTCTGCGTTTAACTGTCTCAGCTCAGTCAATGGGCCTCCTCTGACTCCTGCCTCGGGATGCCAGAAAACCTAAGTTCTTCCTACGCTTCTGGCTCCTCCTCATATAAATTTTGATTATGCCATTTTTAAAATTCTATCTTGTTGGTTACCTGTTGATACCAAATTTGGCTATATGGGTTAGCAGTGTTTTATACAGTATTAATATTTTGAAGTTAAATGTTCAGCAGGTGGTGGGCCATTTCCCACCATTGAAAACAAAAGAATTATTAGAATTACGTTATGCTAAACTGGTAACCTAGACCTCGCTAAAATTCTCTGTAATATTCTAGATTGAGATGGACAAACTGTTTTACCCTTTGAATTTATGTCTAATCCGACTATGGCCTGATTAAAGAAAATCTAGTTAATTGTATTTGTTTAAGAATGTGTGTGTGTGTGTGTACAATCCCCTTTCCACTGAAGACCGATGTACATGGTTCTCACCTCTCCCAATTCATTTATGGTAGATTAGGCTGAGAAATAGTGTGTGGCCTGTGAAAATAGCTGTGGCACATTCAGAATGCTTGTCTGCCACCTGGCCCAGGAGGTTCATGGCTGGCAAAAGGTTTTAACTGATGGTTAGGTGAGATTTACTCATCATTTGCATATAGGTCAAAACGTTACGGGGGGGCACTTCTGCGCATGCACATGGCTCACTTGCAGGGGGTGGAGCGCACTCGCGAGGAGGTGGTCGTGGGGGGGGCAGGAGATCTGTGTCCACAGCCCGGTCCTGCCTAGGGCTTGAGTTATGAACTTAATCCGTTCCAGAAGATGATTGTAACTCAAATTGGTCGTAACTCAAAGCACTGTTTCCCATAGGAATACATTGAAACATGGTTAATCTGTTCCAGCCACCCCCCCACTAAAAACACACACTAAAAAAACACACTGCAAGACCCATCAAAGCACAGAAACATAACCCTCCCCCCTGAATCAAACAAACCCATTCCAGCAGGGACTAAAAAACACATTGCAAGAGCCATCAGAAATGCGATTAATCTGTTCCAGCCAATCCCCCCTAAAAACACACTAAAAAACACACTGCAAGACCCATCACAGCATAGAAACGTAACTCCACCACCCAGCCCAAATCCACACTGCAAAACCTACTCAGAACAGGGAGTTTTTAAAGCAGTACTTTACCAGGCAGTCCAAAGCCTCCTCTGAATGCACACTCTTTAACTGCTGGGCGAAAGAGCTACAAAGAAGCAGCCTCTTCGCCAACCAACGGTTAGCAGTTCAAATTTCCCCGCCTTTTTTTCTGGTCGTAATTCAAAGCTCCAGTTGCAAGTCAAAGCAAAATTTTGCGGCCGGAGCTGGTCGTAACTCAAATTGGTCGCCAGTCAGGACGTTCGTAAGTCGAGGCACCACTGTAATATTTTTAATATCTGTATTTTCAGACTGTGGATAAATGAATTAGTGGATATTGATCCCACAGAGAAGGGGTCCTGCTGAACATTGCTTGGTCCCTGGCTCCCTCTAGGGGCAAGTTCTGCTAAATTCACCCTGGGAATACATCTAAATAGACATTTCTGGTTTTTTTGTTTAGTATTTTCAGCCAATGAATAAGTGAATCAGCAGAACCTGATCCTGTGGTTGGGGGGAGGGGGGGTCCTACTGTATAAGTAACTATGATTTTCTTACAAGATGGTTGAAAGTTTCTTCTTTATTTGAATAGCATGTTTCATGTTGATTTAGGCACTGTTGATTCTTAACTAATGGAAATCATTCTATATTTCTGGAGGAAAGGAATGCTTATATTCTAAAAAAGAGCAGAAGGTTTCGTGGAAATCTAAGACATCCACTTTTGTTGGATACTTTTTTAAAAATTGGTTGTAATTTAAAAGAGAGAAATATTCCAAAGAAAACTCTTTTTGACCAAAATGAAAGGTTTCCCACTCATCGGTTGTTGTTCTTCTCCCCAGATTTATCCTACCAGGTGATGTAGATGTTGATGAACTCCTTTATGAAGAGTTTTTGACTCCCGAGGAAGAAGCAGAGAGCAGGAAAGAGCGGGAAGCCATGAAGCGCCAAGAACTCCTTCAATCTGTGAATTTCTCCAAGTAAATGAAGCCCCAGGCTCGGGATCCATTTGTTCTGTTGCTAGGTTTAGGCATACACACTGTCTCCAAGGGAAGGATATCTATTCTTAATAATTCCCATTGGATCAGGATATACATTTTCAAACGGCAGTGTACATTAAAAGTGGTCCAGCTAACTGCATCCCACCCCATCCCTTCGGGTTTGATACATAGAGATTACACTCAGGTGAGGTCTTTGCGCCAAGCTGAGTTGGAAGAGGTTGCTTCAGAACAGGCATGGGAATTATGTTGGCCTTGCAGGGCATGCACGGTGGGCCTCAGGTTATTTTTGGACCAACGCAAAAATTGTCAGATGCACCCCAAGGAAGTTTCCACAGGCTACGTTATTGGCCATTTAATGTTTATGCTCCTGCTGTTTCAAAAGAAGGATGGGCTAGGCATGTGATAGTGGAGTGGCTTCTGCAGCTGACTGTCCTGTTGCAGAATACACGGATAAGTCCCTGTGTCATAACTAATTGAAAGTCACATAGAACCAAGTGGAAGACATTTACACCAGGCAACGTATCTGGGCGTGCCTCCCAGTTTACATCTGCAGATGCTCATTTAAATGAAAGTCATCTCTGTTGCCTGACTTCTGGATATGTATTTCTGTTTATTTGTCTATCTCTCTTGAACGTTTTTAAAAACACTCAATTTTTCCCTCCCCACCCATCCCCCTTGTTAAAAACAGGTTAACTTTGGAACAGAAAGAACTTTGCCGTAGCAGGTTGAAGCTCCTAACCTATTTGGACCGTTTAGCAACCTACGAGGTAAAGACGGTGGTTCTTACATCCTGGATTATATTTGTTGGCTAATGGGTCGCTGTATAATGATTCCACACCCTTTCGTTCTTCCAGTGTCGTTTTTGCATTCATGCCCCTTTTTAGGTTTTTCAGGTTTTCTGTACAACGAGACAGGCAAAGAACCTGGTTCTCACAGCGGCTTCTGTGTTTTATCATTTGCCTAGCAGCACATATATTCCATTTCTCTTTAACACTTGTTTATTCACTCAAAGCCATAAGCTAAATCCACCTCCCTCAGTATTTAAGACCTGTGTATGTTTTCAGGCTTTGTATATGTATGAATGAAAACTGAGTTTAAAACAGGCAAAAATGTCCCCCTGCCTGTGGAGCATTCCCTTGTTTGGGGCCTTGTGTCGCATGGCTTGACACTGCAAATGGTAGCCAGTCTTTGCTAAAATTGCAGATTGTGCCCCGAATACAGTGGCATCCACTGTATATAATGTAAAAGTGGACTCCCTTTTCAGTCCAAGCACATTATTGCTCCTCTACCCCATCTATAGTTGATCTGTGTATCTGTTCACAGTCATGCCTGATTGATATATGACTTGAAATGTTCGTTATTCACATGTTCGGAATATATTTTGTAACTTTTTCTTCAGGAGATCCTCGGGGGGCCACATGCTGCTGAGCAGAGATACGATGCGGAGTTCTTCAAGAAATTCCGCAATCAAAATATCGTTCTTTCTGCAAGAACATATGCTCGGGTATGTTCTTTGTTTGAAACTTGCTTACAAAGCAATGACACACTGATTGTTTTTTGATGATTATTAACTCTTGCCATCATATGAATCATATTCTTTTTGGACCTTTACAGTGCAATCGTGTGAGTTTGTTTGGTGGGGAATCCCATATGTGGACAGCAAAAGATGTTTTAATTGTAAATATTTCCTTGTCACTTCAGAAGGTAGATCATATGTGGACTTGAAATATTAAAATTGTCAAAAATTCTTGCTCCAGGCCCATCCATTAGTCTGATGTTTATATCCCACAATCACCCCAGATTTTCCCCCTTAAAAAAGTGGCTTCACCGTTCCCAAATCAGGACTATTCCAAGGAAGTAAGCCTCATTGTGGTCCATGGGACTTATTCCCAGGGAAAAATGGGTACAGGATTGTAATCTTGGTGTCTGACGGAAAAATATCAGCTATGGGTGGCAAGGATGGCAGTAAATAATTTTTTAGGAAAAAAATTAAAAATTCCAATCCAGTCAAGGTAGAAATTAGGTTCCAGTATCTTAACTTGAGAGCCCTTCTTTCTTTAAAATAATAGTCTTATTAATTAATAGCATTATGTTACAGAGAAGGGTGGAACGATAAGACAGAAAATCCCTATCTAGACAACCATCCCTAGAGGGAAACTTTTGCTTACATAAAGAGACAGACAAGGAGTTAAGGTCAAAGTCTAATCTTTGAGAATAGACAGATCCAGGAGCTCCCAACCTTGGTTTGCCCAGGTGTTCTTGGACTGCAACTCCCACAAATCCCTGCCAGCACAGCTAGTGGTGAAGCCTTCTGGGAATTGTAGTCCAAGAACACCTGGGGTACCCAGTTTTGGAACCACTGGACAAGTCCAACAGTTGGCCATCAGTCCAAAGTTTCAATGAGTCTTTCTTTGCACATAAATTCAACTGATTCCATACAACAGTGAATGTATCTCTTTCGCTTTGCCCATTTGCTGCCCCAGTGTCGTGTCAGGTTCCCCAGTAACACAACACAACAGATCAAACCCTGTCAAGCCAGTTATACACCCCAAGACCTTACTAATGTTTTCCGCTGTCTAGCAACATTGAGGTGTGTAGCAGTCAGTAAGAAGGAGAGCAAATCTTTACGGAGCCATTTTTTGTTATCTTGAGGAAAGATGGAGAGTAACAACAGTTCACTACCCTATTTTGTATGCTCACAATCTTCTTTCTTTAAAAACATTTCTGTTATTTTATAGATTTTTTTAATGGGAGAAAATGAGGTTTGTTTGCCACATCAGTTGTCACAAATAAAAACATGTACTGTACAGTATAATATGGATTTTAAAAAAATTATGCAGCCTCCCATAATTTTAGGAAATGGCTGCTTATTAAACAGAATGGTTTATAGGCAGTTTTCTGAATATTAACAGTGAACTATTTGTGCAGGAAAGCAACGTAAGGGCCCTGGAGATCTTGTTCACATACCATGGATCAGACTTGCTTCCACATCGTTTGGCAGTTCTGTCTAATTTTCCAGAGACCACCTCTCCACATGAATATTCCTTTTTGCTGCCTGAAGCTTGGTAAGTGCGTATGTGCTGAATATCAATATAATATTCACGTTCTTCTTCCTTTGAAAATGCTGAGGTTTTTCTTTAGTAAAAAAAACAATTAGTATTCATAATTAAAAAGTCAAAAAGAAAAGCTGCACCTCTCTCTCTCTCTTTCTCTCAAGACTGTTCTAACAATCTGGAACATTTTGTTGCAAAAGGTAAAACTCACAGGATCATCTGATGTACACCTACCGTGAGGTACCGTAGAGTTCTGTCTGTGTAGGGAAAATATAGTTCATCTTCATAGTTTTTCGGGGTGTTGTGGTTGCACAGTGCTGCATCCAGAATATTCTAGAGTGTAATGGTTATGACAGGGATTTAGTTTAATATTTAACAGCTTATTACAAACCTGGTAACCTTACTTGTATCAAAAAATGGGAAATTATATTTAATTGGAGACTGTTTGGTTTCATCACGCCTCTCATGAAGGGGAGAATACAGGGACCAGAAGTTGTTCATTTCTCCACCTGCAAAGCAGAGAGAGTGTCACCAGAACTTGCTCTGTTTTCTCCATCATGACTTCAGTTGCTGACGGCGCTGTGTTCCGTGGTCAACAAGAGACTCTTTGGTGGTCAGTTGTGGAGAAGTTGGTGAGGGTCCTGAGATAGAGGAAAATCTGGAGCACAAACAGTGTGGAGACTGAATTGGGAGTAAGCCACAGTGTGAATGAAACAGTGTGAAGGGGACTTGGGTCAAAGCAGAGGCAGAAAGCTTAGTAGGCCAATGGATAAGGACTGGAGGACAAGCACACAATGTGAGAACCGGCGGAAGATCACAAAATCTGCTGGGTAATAAAAGGCTAGAGCCACACCAAAAAAATACAGAGTGTAATTGTTTGTTAGGTAGATAGGCTATTTGTTTGTTTGTTTGTTTGTTTGTTTGTTTATTTATTTATTTGATTTGATTTGATTTGATTTGATTTGATTTGATTTGATTTGATTTGATTTGATTTGATTTGATTTGATTTGATCAGTGTGAAGGGGACTTGGGTCAAAGCAGAGGCAGAAAGCTTAGTAGGCCAATGGATAAGGACTGGAGGACAAGCACACAATGTGAGAACCGGCGGAAGATCACAAAACCTGCTGGGTAATAAAGGGCTGGAGTCATACCAAAAATACAGAGTGTAATTGTTTGTCAGGCAAATAGACAAATTTATTTATTTATTTATTTTGATTTGATTTGATTTGATTTGATTTGATTTGATTTGATTTGATTTGATTTGATTTGATTTGATTTGATTTGATTTGATTTGATTTGATTTGATTTGATTTTTATCCCGCCCTTCTAGATATATGTCTACTCAGGGTGGCTCACAATAAAATATTCATACAAACAATTAAAGCCTTCCCTGAAACAACATATGGCCAAATCCTTTTGGAGTGAACTTGTACCCTACCAAGAAATGAAACCTTGCCTGGAAGCTTTTATGGCCAAGGGTTTTTGAAATGAACCCACACCTTGCCGAGAGATGAGAAAGCTTTTACATTCAAGTCTCACTGAGATAAACAAGCAGTGTGCTGGGGAATACAAGACCGTACGAGGTCTTAGAAGAACAGTACAGTCCTTTGACGCTCCATTCCTCTGCAGCTCACTCATTATTAGATCATCCATACATAGATTAGAAAGCTTCTATTTTGAATTACCGCTCCAATTTTTGTTGTAGAGTTTTTGAAGTTTTGGTTAAAAGTCTCCTTTGGATACACAGCAGAAGTACAGAGATTCACAGAGGAGATTAGCTTCACGGTCCTTTTTCTCATCCACCCTTTTTTTTAATTAACAGGCACTTACAGTCTCAATAACTCACTCTGGAACATTATAACCGTACGAGGTCCTATAAGAACAATACAGTCCTTTGCCACTCCATTCCTCCGCGTCCAGCAGCTCACTCATTATTAGATCATCTGTACATAGATTAGAAAGCTTTCATTTTGAATTACCGCTCCAATTTTTGTTGTAGAGTTTTTGAAGTTTTGGTTAAAAGTCTCAGGTTGGACAGGTTGACAGTCACCCCCGCCCAGAAAGGTCCCAACATTATTAGTAAAAAGAGTATAAATGTTTCATTACTTAGAGTTGGGGACAGATAACAGCAAACTAAGAACCAACAAAATAAAGGGCTTCCAACAGACAAAAGTGAGGGAAAGGGAATGCTCAGCAGAGAGGTGGGGGCTCTATATTAATTTAGAGGTAGGAAGGAGCAGGTTGGACAGGTTGACAGTCACCCCCACCCCCGCCCCCGCCCAGAAAGGTCCCTTCCAGCAAAATAAACTACAGGCAGCATGCAAGGTTGTAAGAACTCCCAACAGGTTTTTTTTGTTGTTACGGTAATTGGGGGCTGGGATCCATCCACATACATGACATGGAGCAGTGAGATAACAATAGGACTAACCATCACGAATGCAATCTTCACAAAAACGATAAGTTTCTCCTGTTGTTGCTCCCTGCCAGTGGGCGGTTTGAGTCTGTCTGTGAACCTGCAGGTCTCATGTCAACCATCGTGATAAGGATCCATTAACAAGCTTACCAGTTCAAGGAACTCCCAACAGGTTTTTTTTGTTGTTACGGTAATTGGGGGCTGGGATCCATCCACATACATGACATGGAGCAGTGAGATAACAATAGGACTAACCATCACGAATACGATCTTCACAAAAACGATACGTTTCTCCTGTTGTTGCTCCCTGCTAGTGGGCAGTTTGAGGCTGTCTCTGAACTTGCAGGTCTCATGTCAACCATCATGATCAGGATCCATTAACAAGCTTACCAGTTCAAGAGCAGCATATCTCATCAATTAAGAATGCACTTCTCCTTTCGCCAGTATTCCTACTGCCTGATTTCAGACACTTCTGCTGTCTTCTCCGGACAAAAGAGATTGAGCGGCCTTAGAAGTTTACGTTGATATTTGGGATCCATCATGGATAGGAGATGCCATATCCATCTGATATTTCCTTTTTCTGTCCTCCTTCCCTAACCAAACAGACGGACACACAACTGGCACAGTTTGGAGGAAAGAAAACTGGTCCTCGCATGAACTGTATGCCAATATTAAGAACCAGTACCCTTGCTGGGTCTCACACGAAGACAGAATGCTGTATCACACTACAGAGAAAAGTGAATTCTGCTATGTGGACTGTTTCCTGTGTCTTGAATCTAGTCTTTGGTGATGCTTAGTTACATTACCAGCATGGGGTGCTCTGTTTAAAACTGGGGACATGCTGGGTTGGTCCATGTTCTGAAAGCTGAACTAAAACAGTTCAAGCTGCCTCCCAAGGCTCCCCAGAGCTCTGGCCAGCACACAGGGTCCTGCACAACCGAGCAATGCTCCGTTCATTTTCAGTACCGAGGAGTCCTTCCCCCTGTCCCTTCCCTGCTGGGTCACTTAGATTAAGTCAGGCCCATCTCCATTGACTAGCAACAGCTTTCCAGGTTTTATTTGAAAATACTAGGGATCAGAATGCGAGAATTGGATGTTTAGAGCCTGTGCACTGGTGATCAAACTCTGTGTGGCATCAATAGGCATGGGACTTGTGGGAGAATTGTAAAACCAAAACGGGCCTTTGCTTTTGAAGAGAAGGGGGCAGCTGTTGCTCACTCTTGACTCTTGTGTGGGCTTTGATGTCCTTGCGGCTTGTAGAGAAGACACAGAGTGTTGAAGCCTTAGTTACGTACCTTCTGTGCCAGACAAACGCTTCCTGGTTCCCTCTTTTCTCCCTAAAAATTGCTCTTCATAGAAAACCAGCATCGTTAAACAATCCTAGCTGAACTAGGAGGGAAGTTCCACCACAGTCTACCTTTGCTATAACATAGAATAAACTGCATCGAAAGAGACACAAAGGTTTTGAGGAAGTTAGGGTTTAGAGATATTTACCCCGGGTGTGGAAAACAAGTAGAGTGTTAGTGGTTGTGTTAGGCAGAGACCTCGCTGAGAGCAGAGGGCTGAGGAGATAAAAACTGAACCCCCAGCTTAATGACTGATGGATATACAGCCATATTTTTCGGGTGTGAAAGTGGGTTGGCTGGGGAGGGGAAGGAAGGCCTTCTGTACAGCTGCTTGAATACTGCTGAGCTTGTTGGCAGGCTTTTTTATAGAGGGCTCCCATTTCACCAGCATGTGAGGCTTTTTCAGTTTTTGGTGCTGCACACCAGGAACTTACTCATTTGTAAAGCTGTCACATGTTTTCAGTTTTAGTAATTTTTGACTATTCCTTAACTTACTTTATATCATGTTTCTCTAGAATGGTGGCTTTCCGCTTTTGGAACCCTCTAGAAGTTTTTGACCTATACTCCCAGAATGCACTATTAGCACATCCAGTAGTAGTAAGAGATACTTGGAGTGTAAGCTCAAAGTATCTGAAGGGCAAATAGTTAGGAACCACTACGCTAGAAGGAAAAAAGAAGAAATTGTGTACATTCTGTTCCTTAAGCTCAGCCAAGAGTATCCAGTTCTCATCATTATCTGGATTTGAGATCCACCCTGTGGTGCCCATTAGAGTAGAAGAAAGTATAACTGAGGAGAACTGTTTGCAAAGCAGATGATTTTTGGGCGTGTGAAAAATTGGACATCCCTTCAGGCTTATGCAATAACTCTATTTGGAGACACAGATGGCACGTTGGGGGCACAACTCTAATCCCCATACCAAAAGACACAATACGCAGAGGTTCTTTTGAAAAGTGGGTAGAGATGAGTATCAGGTGCTGGCAACAAGTTACACAAGTACTCCTGTGCAACTTGAGTTATTGGTTAATAAACACATGTTGCCAGTAAGAAACTGTGAGCTAACCCATTAGTTAAACGGATTGTGATCTAGATAAAGTCTAAGTGAAGACCGAACTGGAGAGACCCAGGGGATCGGATATAAACTTCCTAGGTGGACTGGAGTGAAAACTTCCATCCTGCGGTCCACACAGCAGAGGCCCTCCCCACCAGTTAGCCAAAGTTCCTTCTGGTTGGCTGGCTGGGGCATGAGTGGGAA